TGGTGGGGAATGTGAAGCTCAAGTGCAGTCTTGGATGCAGTGACCATGAAATGGTAGATTTCAAGATCCTTAGGACAGTGGGGAGGGCACACAGGAAGCCCTCTACCCTGGACTTCAGGAGAGCAGACTTTGAGGTTTTCAGGGACCTGCTGGGTAGAGTTCCATGGGATAACGCCTTGGAAGGAAGAGGGGCCCAAGAAAGGTAGTTAACATTCAAGGATTGCCTCCTCCAAGCCTAGGGGCGATGCATCCCAACAAAGAGGAAGTCAGGAAAAAATACCAGGACACCTGCATGGATGGACAAGGAGCTCCCACACAAACTCAAACACAAAAAGGCAGCCTACTGAGGGTGGAAGCAAGGACAGGTAGCCTCAGAGGAATACGGGGAAATTGTCCAAGCAGCCAGGGATCAGGTTAGAAAAGCTAAGGCCCTGACAGAATTAAATCTGGCCAGGGACATCAAGGCCAAGAAGAAAAACTTTTATAGGTATGTTGGGGAGAAAAGGAAGACTAGGAAAAATGTAGGCCCCCTCCAGAAGGAGGCAGGAGACCTGGTGACCTGGGATATGGAGAAGGCTAAGGTATTCAACAACTTCTTTGCTTCAGTCTTTACCAACAAGTGCTTGAGTCACATCCCCCAAGTCACAGAAGGCAGAGGCAGGGACAGGGAAAATGAAGAGCTGCCCACTGTAGGAGAAGATCAGGTTCGAGAGCATCTGAGGAACCTGAAGGTGCACAAATCCATGGGACCTGATGGGATGCATCCGCGGGTTGTGAGGGAACTGGCAGATGAAGTTGCCAAGCCACTATCAATCATATTTCAGAAGTTCTGGCAGTCTGGTGAAGTTCTTATAGACTGGAAAAGGGGAACATAACCCCCATTTTTAATAAGGGTAACAAGAAAGATCCAGGGAACTACAGGTTGGTCAGTCTTACCTCTGTCCCTGGCAAGATCATGGAGCAGATACTCCTGGAAACTATGCTAAGGCACATAGGAAGTGAGGAGGTGATCGGTGACAGCTAACATGGGTTCACCAAGGGCAAATCACACCTGACCAATTTGGTGGCCTTCTATGATGGAGTTATAGCATTGGTACATAAGGGAAGAGCAACTGATGTCATCTACCTGGACTTGTGCAAGGCATTTGACACTGTCCTGCACAACATCCTTGCCTGTAAGTTGGAGAGGCATGGACTAGGTGGATGGACCACTGAGTGGATAAGGAACTGGCTGGATGGTCACACTCAAAGAGTTGCGGTCAACAGCTTGATGTTCAAGTGGAGGTGATGAGTGGCATCCCTCAGGGGCTGGTATTGGGACCAGTGCTCTTCAACATCTTTGTCAGAGACATGGACAGTGGGATTGAGTACACCCTCAGCAAGTTTGCCGACGACACCAAGCTGTGTGATTCGGTCAACACACTGGAAGGACGGGACGCCATCCAGAGGGACCTTGACAGGCTGAGAGGTGGGCCTGTGCTAACCTCATGAAGTTCAACAAGGCCAAATGCAAGGTCCTGCACCTGGGTCAGGACAACCCCAAGCACAAATACAGGCTAGGCAGAGAATGGATCAGGAGCAGCCCTGAGGAGGAGGACTTGAGGGTACTGGTGGATGACAAGCTCAACATGAGCCAGCAATGAGCACATGTAGCCCAGAAGGCAAATCATATCCTGGACTGCATCAAGAGAAGCATGGCCAGCAGGTCGAGGGAGGTGATTCTCCCCCTCTACTCTTGTGAGATTGCACCTGCACTACTGCATCCACTTCTGAGACCCCCAACAGAAGAAGGACATGGACCTACTGGAGAGAATGCAGAGGAAAACCACAAGGATGATTAGAGGGCTGGAGCACCTCTACTACAGGGACAGGCTGAGAGAGTTGGGGCTGTTCAGCCTGGAGAAGAAAAGGCCATGGGGAGATCTTATAGCAGCCTTGCAGTACCTGAAGGGGCTACAGGAAGGCTGGGAAAGGACATTTTTCAAGGGCAGGTAGTGATAGAACAAAGGGTAATGACTATAAACTGGAAAAGGGTAGGTTTAGATTAGTTATTAGGAAGGAATTCTTTCCTGTGAGGGTGGTCAGGCACTGGAACAGGCTGTCCAAGGAAGTTGTGGATGCCCCCCCCCCGGGAGGGTTTTAGGCCAGGCTGGATGAGGCTTTGAGCAACCTGGTCTAGTGGAAGGTGTCCCTGCTGATGGCAGGGGTGTTGGAACTGGATGATCTTTAAGGTCCCTTCCAACCCGAACCATTCTGTGATTCTACGTGTAGTTTTTCCCAATAGCAGTTAGAACGTGAGGCAACAAAATAGAGCCTGTCATGTGCTGGTTTTGGTTCAGTTTTAGGGTTTTTTGGGGGTGTGTTTTGTTTGGGTTTTTTGTTTTGTTTTTTAGTTGGTGGGTTGTTGGGGTTGGTTTTTTTTGAAATGGTGGGGGAATGAAGGAAGTGCTGAGAGGTTTAAGGGAAAAAAAAAAACTACCACCCAATCGCCACACAAGATATATTTGATATTTCTAATATTCATTACCACCATGAATGCAAACTACTGCACCACTATCAATCACAAGATAAACTTGTTCCCAATGGTAATAATCCTAAAACAATACAGAATAGAAAGAAGTGGTTTTTAATGGAACACAATAGTATCTACCAAAGCAGATAGGGAAGAGACTCTCAAAGCACTAAGGAAAATCTGCAATGGGAATGAGATTTGCTTTTAGAAACATGCAGAATTTGTTGTGGGGCCTTTCAGTAACAAGTTTGTTTTGTTTTGTTTTGGTTTTTTTTAAAGTGAGAAACGAGTAATGCAGTTGAAAAAGATCAAAACAACATCAGATGAATTAAATGAAAGTATAATATTAGAAATTAAAAAAAAAAATCACCTATTATTTGCCAAACATTTACTTACTAACAAGCTAAGGGATTAAATAAAAACCTTTTTAACATCTTTATAATATGTACTGCAGGAGCAAAGTCAAAAACAGCCTCTTTGAAGGGCAGATGTTCTTTAATCACAAGGAATGTCCATGTAAACTCAGAACAACAATCTTCATGCTCTTTATTTCCTGAAGTGGATCCTAACAGCAGTAAATAGCTGCACACAGATAGCACTGTTGTAGCCTAATCTCCCAAAAGTATTTCAAAAGTAGCATAGTATCCAACAAAGTGAACTGTGTGTACTTTTGCAGAGCTGTCAGGTATCCTTATGATGTTAAGGAAAAACAAACATCTAGGTGCAAAAGCAGCTGTCCAAACTGTACTCAAAGGTAAGAGACTGATGTTAACTTACTGGCTCTGGCAAACAGAGGGAACTGCATCACTATCTCAAGTGAGAAATACATACATAGGGAACATTTTTTACTTTGAATAAAAATATATACATATGGATCTCAATATAGGTGATAATGCCCAAAGCTAAAATTGTGAATGGCATAGGAAGCATAGGGAGGAGTCAAAATAAATCCCACCAACTGCTCCAGGCACATTTTGTAAAAGAAATAAATATATCCACTGCATATAATTCAAGAATAAAGGACATAAATATTTCAAGACTGAACCACATGTCTGAACTTTCACTAAATGCATCATTTTTATATAGACATGCTGATGAGACCTCTGAAAAGACGACAAAAATGACTCAGTTCAGAGGCCAGTGCTTTTTAGCATCAAATACACAGTTAAATAAGTAAGTATCAGGGAATACACGTTGCAGGTAGGACATGCCTATGATAAAGAAATAGTTCAAACAAACTAGCACTTTTCCTTTCCTGCATCTGAATCTAAAGGGTTCTAAAGTAGCCAAAAAATTGATGACCTTTGCAGGCCTCTTCAGATATGGTTGTTATGAAAGAGAATTAATTAGTTCTTTTCCTAGAAAGTCAAAGTTTCTTAGTATCTTCCCTATAACTCATGCCCATTATTGTAAGCAGTCTTGTCTTTTCATCTGAGACAACTCCCCATTCATGAAAACCCCAGAGCAAGTTCTACACAGGAGAGATGTGCATTTTACTAAAACTCAACTGTTTATTATGTAGCACTCCCAACTTCTAAATTCTTTATATGGTTAAACCAAGACAAAAGGGGTCAAACTATAATGTGAGAGTCCTCCCTCTCACATTGAGAAACCTATTAGACATCAGACTTAAGGACAGCAGTATAATTACGATAGCTCTACTGGAGTTAAAGGAGCTCTGCTATTGCACACCAGCTGATGATCCAGAATACAACTGTAATTTAATTTAAAATTTAAGAAAAAAAAAAAAAAACCCTATCCCAGTTGGCCTGCTGCAACACTGACCATATATTTTGTAATGGAAGACTCAGAATACAAAAAAGGAAAAGATATTTAGCAATATAAAACATACTTCAAAATGGAAAGGCTTTTAAGATTTGAAATCTGATGCTTGGAAATAAGAATGAAAGCTTTAATACACTCCCTACATGCTGATTCATGCTATTGCAGACCCCTTTATAACTAGGGGGTCATTTGCTTAATAAAAATTGTAAAGTGATGAGAGTGAGCACTTTAGAAGTGCCTGTCCTTCCAACATTTACACATGGATACAACAGTCACCCCCTATCTAATCAGCACAAGTTCCCAGTGTTCCAAGTCCAGTGCAAAGGAGCTGCAGTACATGACTCGAGTGCTCAGTCACATTACCTACACTGAACAGCCACTGAAATTTTTGTGAACAGCACGCAGAATGAGTATTTGCCACTGAACCCCCTTTTTTTTTTTTTTTTTTTTTTATTAGGTTCCCTTCTCCCATCTTTGTCCTCTGACATCCCATTCCCATCTACTGAAAGAGAGATGCAGTAATCTTACTGTTTGTTTGTGTAGTTTAGCCCACTCGAGGGCTCCCATGTACAGACCATCCAACTGGGCAATAATATAGCCAGCATGCCTCCAAAAGGGGTCATCCTTATTATTTCTGATTTGTTGTCTTGTCCATAGGTTCCCTTCTCCCATCTTTGTCCTCTGACATCCCATTCCCATCTACTGAAAGAGAGATGCAGTAATCTTACTGTTTGTTTGTGTAGTTTAGCCCACTCGAGGGCTCCCATGTACAGACCATCCAACTGGGCAATAATATAGCCAGCATGCCTCCAAAAGGGGTCATCCTTATTATTTCTGATTTGTTGTCTTGTCCATTGATCTTGTTTCCTGCAGAGGAACAAACAGGTTGGGGTTTTCTTGGTTTTGTTTTAGAGCATAACTGATAATACAAGGAAGGGACAAATGTATTATCACCCAGATGACCCAACCTGCCCAGTGTTTTGAGGCAAATCATGTTTTGGAAATCCTGCATACATGAATGTTATATTGTCTGGGTGTAAATGTTCATATGCACGCAACATACCCTGCAGTAGTGTGCCTCTACCAGACTTCAGTATCAAAGAAAGAGTCGGACTCCACCTCTGTGGGGGCCTCTGCTACCTCAGATCTAGCATCCCCTTAGAGCCAGTAAAGGGCAGCAAGCATCTGGCAGGTCAGATGAACCATTCCCTTTTAAATGCCTGGTTAAGGATAAAATAGACTGACCTCTGAAGAGCCTATTTCTCTCCCCTTAGGTACAAGTGCAATGAAGACTTTCTGCTGGTGGTGCTCAAACACTGCCTAAGAACCACTGCTATACTCCTCTGAGGAGAAGGTGGGAGGTGGTCAAACACAACTAACCCATGTGCCAAATCCAATCAGGAGGTTACCAGCCAAATAACCAAGGGATACAGCATGAACACGTGCTGAACAGACCCTAGGGCAAGAGCAGCCAACATGATACGGATGTTCCAGAGCTCCCTCCTTTGCTCTGCGCAAAGGGCCACAGAAAAACCACAGGTGTTAGTGTAACTCAGGACCAGATTCAGGCCTCTTCCATCCTCCTGTATCTATCCATACAACGTTATGTAAAGCAGAAAAAAACCCAAACAAACAAAAAAAAACCCACCCCCAAAACAGAGAATGAACCTGGCAAGGAAGCAAACTGTTCCAGCACTATATGGGTGATAAAACCAGTCAGATTTAGCTTTCTGGAAGTAACAGGATACAAGAAGTATGTCAGGGAAAACAGACATATAGTCAGAGCATTCAGGTCTAAAGACTTTCAGGACAATGCAGCAGCCCATATTGCAAAACTGCTATAAAGTAAAGCAGTGATACAGGAGTCCAGGATATCAGCAATAGAAAAACAACACAAGGTATTGCCCCCTCCATCCAACTACACATCTTGGGGGATACAGCTGCTATGCTGAGTCATTCTGGGAAAAAACCCATAGATTGATATGGTAGCCATCCCATTTTTCTCACAGGGAAGACAGCAATGCTGAAGAATGATAGAAAAGACCAAAGTTTCATGGAAGTATTTGTAATGGAAGAAAACATAAGTCTAAGGAGATTCAAATACTTGGTAATCACAGTTGAATTTCCCAGTACATGGTCTGCTTCTTCTCCCACTTGTAGTTTCCCACCAGTGTAGCTGCCTTATTTGAGCAGAATTACTTTTGATTTATACAGCTGGAGAGAAAAGGGAATCAGGACTTTTGTGATCAGAAGAGAATTTGTGTCAGTGGTAGAATAAACAAAATGCTAACCTAACGGAGGAAGGAAAGGATACACAACGCTAAAAAGATGATCATGCCAGGAGAACACACTGTTCAATGTCATGTTCAAAATACCAGCTTTTTAGAAAAGGATTTTTACTAGAATGACCTTCAGAATTCATTGGCATTATCCACACCTCTTTGTAGCAATGGTTTTAAACATTTCTTTGAAAGAACCAGAATTAGCTTCCTTATGTATTTTTTTTTTTCATACCAATGGCATTCAATCAGAGGGAAAGGAAGCATACATTTTCTTTAGCCACAAAAGAAGAGAATAAAAAACCCTTGAAAACTCTGACATCCTCCAAATTTAAGTCTTGAATAGTTTCTTTATCAATACATAAGTAAATACATACGCCATAAAATTCTGAACTCCACTTCGAACGGTGGGATTCTTAATTAACTGTGGATACATATTTGCAGCATGGTCATACATGTGCCTGAAAGAACAAGAGTAGCAGAAGTTATTCTTTTTGCATCTTCCCTTCCTTTTGTTTACCAACCCATTGACCAAGCATTGATAGACAAGCAACACAGTCCACAAAGTAAGCTTCTCCTTATCACAGAAATTACTTCAATGCATGACAAACAGCAAAACATAACACAAATGGATTGCTGAAATTTAACTTAAAATAAACAACCTTGGTCAAACTGTTGCAGAATGGAAAGATAAGCAAGAAAGATAGCAAAACTTCACACTTGGAGAATATTTGTAGGCCAGAAACATCTTGAAAGCATTAGCACATTAATTTAAAGCACAATAGAAATCATTTACTGGAGAATTATTCTATTTGGAACCAAAAAACAAAGTTGAGGAGAATATAAATTTGCTGACTCAGTTGTGAGAGATAATTTCAGCCTGATACCTAGCAGGTTTTATTTACCATTAGCCATGTTCCTTCCTTTCTGATTAAGCTAAATATCTCTATTTTAAAGTGTGTGTAAGTTGATCTTACATGTTCCCACAAAAACTCCCACCCATGCCAGGCCTAAACAGATTTCAACTTTATAGAGACCAAAATTATTTGGCAGGGTTTTGTTGTTGTTGTTGAATTTGGTTAGCTGTTTCATCCCCATTAACTAATAGGAACAAAAGCTGTAAGGGTTTTATTGGTTCGTTAGGACTTTTGTTTGTTTGTTTTGTTGAAGTGAAATCCTTTATGTTTCAAGATGAAATCAACTGCCAAAAATTGCTCAGGAGCCCAGAAGTTAAAAAACACTCTTCCATTTTAGGTGAAATGTAATAATCTGATTCAAGCCAAAACAGAATTTCAACATTTCTTAACTTGGGTCAAACATTTAACCAACATTTTTTTCAGCCACTAAAAAATAAAAAAAAAAAAAAAAAAAAAAAAAAGAAAAAAAAAAGGTGGGGAGAGGAATATTTAGCTCTAAGTGGAAATCAGCAGAGATCTGGAGTTGTCAAAAGTACATCAGTCATCAGTGAAATCAGTTCCTATCAAGTGCTGAGAAAACAAAACCAGAACCAAGACACGGATACCAGCCTCAAGGAAAGCACATGCCAGCAGGGCAGAATTCCCTGTATTAAAATGCACGAGGGCAACTTCCTCTGGGAGGGATGCAGACAGGAGCCCTTCCCAGTTTTCCTCAGGGCATAATTAGGGAATACACCCAGAGAAGATTGAATGGTTTGGTCATTATTAGAGAACCATCCATTGACCTTCTCTCCTCTCTCTTTCTGTCCCTTGCCCCATTCCTAGCTGTTTAAATACTTGGCTGCATGACCCTGTTGCTTCTATCTCAGCTCTGGTACCATTCTGACTAACAAATCTAATTGTCTGCATACACTCAGGCAAAACACTAACCCAGCAAAAAATGTGAATTATTTTTGTGGCAGTTTGAATTGGGTTGTTATGTAGACAGATAAGCAAGAGAGCTGGTGCAAGAAGGCAGCTCTCTACTGTGTTAGTAGATGAACTGATGGATGAAAGGACCTGATCATTGCCAGGGCAGATACAGGTTGAGGGGACCGGATCTGCAGGGAAGTGTTGGGGCAAGAGAAGGAACCATTCTGCAGCTTGACACCATTGCACCTTTCATGAAACTGCAGCTGCAGTATCAATTTTAGTTCTAGAGTTTCCTGTCTCCCATTTAACACAGACTACATGCCACAATTATAACCTACTTTTGAAGGGGACAAGAAAGATGAAGAGACAGATCAGTATTCTCCATGTCTCCAGTCACAGAGAATTTGGCAAATAAAAATCCCAAGTAATTTTAGAAAGGAAATTATAGCATAATATACTCCACACTACAAGTCAGAGCTCTCATAGCACTAAGAGAAGAGAAGCAAATACCATGAGACAATCCACCTAGCAGCTGGCTTTCTAGGGATGAGAACTAGATGAGGAGGATAAAAACAGCCAGGATACCACTCTAATCACTGGCCAGGATAGATGATCAGGCTTCCAGGCTCAACCAGCAGCTCTACTCTTCATTTTGCACTCAAAGGTTATACAACACAAGGCAGATTTTATACCAGTAATATCTTTCTGGGTTAGTTTAGAATCAGGGGACTGAAGATAATTTCTTTAATGGCCTTCCCTTTTCTATATCCCTCTTCTGCATCAAAAGTGGGGTGGTCAGCAGGGTGAGGGTGGTGATTGTCCCCCTCTACTCTGCCCTTGTGAGGCCTCTGGAGTATTGCATCCAGGCCCCCAACATAGGAAAGAGGTAGAGCTGCTGGAACAGGTCCAGAGGAGAGCCACAAAGATGATCAGAGGGCTGGAGCACCTCTCTTACAAAGAAAGGTTGAGGGAGCTGGGCTTGTTTAGCTTGGAGAAGAAAAGGCTCCAGGGAGACTAAATTGCAGCCTTCCAGTACTTGAAGGGAGCTTATAAACAGGAGTGAGAGTGACTTTTCACGTGGGAAGATAGTGATAGGACAATGGTTCTAAACTAAAAGAGGGGAGATTTACACTATATATTAGGAGAAAATTTTTCACCCAGAGGGTGGTGAGGCAATGGCACAGGATGCCCAGAGAAGCTGTGGATGTCCCATCCCTGGAGGCATTCAATACCAGGCTGGATGGGGCTCTGGGCAGCCTAATCTAGTGGCTGGCAACCCTGTCTACAGCATGGGGGTTGGAACTAGATGATCTTTAAGGTCCTTTCCAACTCAAGCCATTCTATAATTCTATGATGTGCTAACAGAGGACAGACAATTCATGGAATTGACTATTTTTTTAAAATGCCTAAGGTTATTGAGAATATTTCCCCTATTTTTTGCCTTAACAAAGCTTCCATATGCATAGCTTACATGTTTTGCAAGAGTATTATCCTCTGAAGTAAATTGGATCATTGTAGTAAGGTAAGGCTTTGCAACTATATCTAAGGTCAAATGCAAGGCAATTACAAAGTTGGGACAAGAATTCAAAGACTAAAAACAGCAAAGAGGAGCCCTGCTTCTTCAAATGACAGGACTCAGGTCAGCTGAGGTTATATCAGAAAAGAGTACAATTAATGTTGCTTCAAATTTAAATACTGCTCTTAGACCTGGCATGTCCCAATTGGAACTGATTAAAAGTATGTGCTTAATGTCACAGATTTGGAAGGGCTCTGCCATTGCCCAAGTAAGGTAAGGCCTCATTAACAGTTCTCTGTTTGTAATGGGGGAAGAGAATTCATATCCAAGAAAATCAGAGCAAACATCTTTGGCTGGATGACAGGGCTGGACCTTACAGAGAGGTGAGAGACAGAGGATAAAAACAAGAGTCTAGATCTCCAGACACTACAGGCACTAGAATTAGATTTATCCAAACTCTAACTATGGGTTTTCAAAATAGACAGCTACAATCTGAATCAGGTGCCAACACTAGAAAGATGAATCATGTACTAGAAAAGGCTTGTGTTTCTATCTTCACTGGTAAATGGGTCTGACCAGCTTAGCTATTGCTTTTTCTACCACAGACCTATGCAGCTAGAGCTGAGATTTCCCAGCATGGTTTGGTTTTTTTGTTTGGTTTTTTTTATCTTCTTGCCTTACATTCTGCTTAGGTTCCTACTAAGGACAAAGCGTACATTTAAGAGATGCTTTGTTACTCTCTTGCTTATATGATAAGGCCTAGCTGTGTCTAGAAACTGTCCTTCATGCCCCAACTGTAATGCAGGAACTGAGCTAGCTGGGAATTCCTGAAGGTCTCCAAATTGTAGGCACTGTCAAGATGTAGCTCCTGCTCACCAGACAGCTTCTGCAGGAAACTGTACTTCAACCTAGGATCAGGCATGCAATGTAACCTTCCTATTAATGCATCACATCAGAGCTCTTCCTAATAGGACTTCAGGGTTTCTGCAAAGAGCCACCCTGGGTCACTTCTCCTTCACAGAGTCATTACCACAAATGGATGCAAGACAGCTGGAGAACTTGTAGTTGCTCAGGTTACAGGTCACAATGTACTAGAGGGCACTTCAATCACCAGGCATGCCCAGTATTTTCACATTGGAGGGCTGTGCCAGAGCCACCCATGGTAGTGTTTGTACAGGCAAGCCACACAAGAGCCTTCACTCTGGTAGCTACTTGGTTGTTGATGCAAATAAAGCCTTCCCCGCAGCTAAACACAGTGTTACACTCTTCCTTGCTGTTACCAAGTCCTTAAAAAGGAAGGTTGAGCTCTGTGCAGCTACTGTGGGCACTGATGTGTGCAAAAGCAGAGTGCTTAGAGACACCTTCTCAGAGGAGAAGTTGTGATGATGCGAGGGAGCTTCCCTGAAGACAGGCTGAATGGGCCAGGCGGTCTGATGGGAACAGAGTCACAAATTGGAAAAGACTGTTTCTCAGTTTTACTTCTCAAGATTTGTGTAACTATCTCAAAGAAAGAACATCTGCCTGCATGTTAATTATGATTCTTTGAATCTCTAGGCTAGATGAAGAAGAAATAGAGCTCTGAAGAGCAACCTTAACATCTGCAGACCTAGTGAGTTCTCAGTACTCCTGCAGTTCAGGAAATTGCAAACACACTGTATACCAGGATTCGTTAGCTTGCAGATTGCTGAATAAAAACCCACCAAGGTCATACAGCTAAAACCTGAAGTAATAGGTTCTCTGTCTTCTCATGGGTCAAGGGTGTACATCACTAATTCACCTCTGCTCCTTAGCTGGAGCATTTTCAACAGGTTCTCAGCTTCAGAAGAAGCCCTCTTTCATAGAATGGTATGGATACAAAGGGACCTTAAAGCTCATCCAGTTCCAACCCTCCTGCCATCAGCAGGGACACCTCCCACTAGACCAGGTTGCTCAAAGCCTCATCCAGCCTGGCCTTGAACACTTCCAGGGAGGGGACATCCACAGCTCCTCTGGGCAACCTGTTCCAGTGTCTGACCACCCTCACAGGAAATAATTTCTTCCTAATGTCTGATTTGAACCTACTCTCTCCCAGTTTAAAGCCATTACCCCTCATCCTACCACTACCTGCCCTTGTAAAAAGTCCCTCCCCAGCCTTCTTGTAGGCCCCTTCAGACACTGGAAGGCTGCTGTAAGGCCTCCCCGAAACCTTCTTTTCTCCAGGGTGAACAGCTCTTTATCTTAAATAGCTTTACAAGACCTGACAGAAAAAGCTTATATTAATAACCTCATTGAGAAATATGCTTCCACTGCAGTTACAGATGTACAATGATGCAAAGACATAGCCAAAACCCAAATTCAGATGGTATGTATATTTGATCGCCACTTTAGTGATGGCAAGCATTTTCAGGTTTTGCACTTTCAAAGGATTTCTCAGTGGGATTTCCTGAAAGTTTCCTCAGAAATGAAAGGCTTTGGCTACTTCTGGTTTTGCATCTTAACCCACTCTCACACTTAAACCCCTTAAAAATAGTTTAATTTCCCACTTTGCTTAAAAGCCAAAGTCTCAAACTTTTGGTAGTCTCAACTACTTTTCCTCATTGATACAAACCCTTCAGTTCACTTCCACAGCCTTTAAGATCTCTGTTCATTACTATTTCTGCTATATCCACTTCTCTACAAAGAGTCACTCAGTGCTGGAGCTGGCAGCCTGCAGTAACAACAGCTAGGGCTAGAAACCAACCTCTGTAAGCACCTGACTTGGAAAAGGCAAAAACCTTGAGCAGAACTTGTGAGTACTTTCCCTTCCAGGAATATTCAGTTGACACCCATGGGGGAAAAAAAACAAGGGGAAAGACTCTCTCCCCTAAACCTAAGCATAGACTAAGACATCAGATGAAGTCCCTGCAGACACTGTTTCACATTCAAACCATGTTTAAAGTAATAGGCATATACTTAAACTTGTTTAAAAGACAGCCAGGAAGACTTATAAATCTACAGTGAAGGCAGAAGGGGAACCAGGTGTGGGTTGTTGCTCCTAGAACATTACTTGCCATCTAATTGGGCTTAGCATGGATCGAGCTCTTTATGTAGTATGACAGAGCTTAAGCTTAACCACTTAGAGATGAGCACACCTAGGTAAAGCCTTAAATTCTGTTGAGCAATACCAAGTTTAACAATATTCTAAACATCATGCTAGCATTCCCCAGATCCATATGTAGCTTACATAAACTGAACAGTGCATAACAGTAACATCTCATGCCAAATAATCCAACAACATACATCCATATCTCTAATCTACTCCATTTCCTTTCCTGCCCAGAGTGCAGCTTGTGCACTCAGAACTCTGGGATTCCTTTACTTTTTCCCTCAGAAGCGTTTTGTTACTAACAAATATTACTTCATTTTATTTCCTTCATACTGTCCAGAGACCTATCTGCCACTCCAGCAAAGTCTACTAGAGATTCACATTAACATATCATATGATCAGAGAACTATCTATAAATCTTAACTAATCTTAAAATGTCTTACTAATTAAATTAATATAATCTGGTCCAGTAGTTATATCTGACAATTGTTCGACAGACAACCTTCCCCTGCTGCCCTGTTTAGTGTAGCCTACGGGCATTTATTTCAGTGTTCTGGAAGCAAAGCTGGTGGAGCCAAATTCATGTCACCACATCCAATTATTTCTCAGCCTTGCATCAGAATTTTGGACTTTTCCTTTTCCTATGACTAAGTTGATAGAAGAAAAGATGGAGCTTGTTCAACAACAAGCCACACGTCATGTTCTTCACTATACCACCAGCTAGAGTATGTTAGTATGTCATAGTGCCATTCTGTCTTCCAACTTAGTCAAGGAAAGAACAAGGTTTGGTTTTGGGTTTATTTTTTGGTTGGTTATTGTTTGATTTCTGGATTGAGGGGTTTTTTTGGTTAGGTGGGTGGGGTTTTTTGGTTTTGGGGTGGGTTTTTTGGGGGTTTTTTGTTTTTGTTTTTTTTAAAAAAACTGCTCTAGATTCGTATTAAGTAAAAAATTCTGACAATTTTCATAGATCTGCATTGTGGGAGAGACTCAGTCCCTCATCTTCTCTTCAAAGGGCTTTCAGGAGCCTATTGACCCTTCTAGACACACACTAGTATGCCTTCAGGACTATCATTATATCAGCATTTTTTTTTCCTTCTGTCCAAGAGAGACTAAATTCCCCATGCTGTGAAGTTTCAGCATGTGCTCCCCAGCAGTTTCTTGAGAGTGTTTGCTGAAAAAGGTTCTTAAGGAAGCCCTGCAGCCCTTGCTAGCAACATTTCTCTCTGCCTGATCTGCTCTCAATTGTCTCATCTGTTGTTGGTCAGTCACCTAACTATAGGCTGGGAAAATAACTACTCTTTCTGCTACTCCTTTTTGTAATTATTTACAGCATAAGGCTTACGCACTTCCTTACACATACACTGTTCTGTGATTACATTACTTAATCAGTAGTACAGATACAGTACTCATCTATCTCACAAAGGTGTTAGGAGAGCCTGCAAGATGAGAAGGGGAGGGCACACCTTGACCCCCTAATGAAGAGGCTGTATTTCATACCTGCTACTAATTAAAAGAAGAGCACACAACTGCAAAACATACAGTTAGTTTAAATGGATGGGAACTAAGGGAAAGGAAAAAACAAACAAACAAAAAACTCACAAGTACAGAAATCCACTGGAAGTGTCATAAATTGAGTTGCTTCCTGAGGTACTTACGGAGCTGTGAGATAGCCTTCCAAGAAGCCAGCTGCATACATGATATCTTCATTGCTTAAGGTCTGACTGCCATAACCGGCTCTGATCTCCAGCACTCCCCAGCCTGTTGTCTGTACAGTGTTGTTGTAGAAACCATAGGCATCTCCACTCCTGTCCAGTATATTCTTGACCTGAAGTGTTTTTTGAGCTCTATTCCAGTACACGGTTGCATAGCGGATTTCTATGGCAGAAAAGAAAGGGGGCAAGGAAAACAAACACACACGATTAGGTATTTCCTATCCAATATTGAAATGTCAAGACAACATTTTGGCAATTTAAAAAAAGGGAGAGAAAGACTAATGTTACCATACTGAAATGTAGCATCAGAACTAACTGGAGTTTTACCAAGACAAAAGCTTACAGCTAAATATTCTCATGTTACTCTTCTGGAAATTATCTACAACCCTTTCAAGTGTAGAGCTCCAACACAGCTGAGTCTTGACATAAAATTCAGAAATGTATTTCCTTACCTGGCCCAGAAGAAAATCTACACAGATCTTATTGAAAGCAAATTTTATGGAAAGCAACTTTAGAAGACAGCATACCTTAGCAACTGCAAAGGATTATAAGCTAGTGTTGACTTGGTTTTCCACCTTAAGATTCAAAAGGCTGAAAAATTTTTCTAAACTGACTTTCTGGGCAACTAATCCGGGAGGTGGCATTGCACAACAGGAGCACAGGAACTCAGTGAATCACACACAAGCTTAAAGACAAAAGCACCATAGGTATGGAAGCCGTTATAGAACACACAATCCCTATCACCCAGCCGGAATAGAGTCAATCTCAAGTGTGAAATGCACAGGAATGGAGGGCACTAGACTGCTCAGAGTTCTGCTTGGACTGCTGTTTAAGAATCATTCTTCATTAGTTGGGTTTTAATCCTGCTGAGCTGAAGAACAAAGAGCAAAGTAAACTGTTTTTCAAAAAACCCTGCAATTCTAATTCAGCCTTCCCTAAAATGGGACCCGATTACATCAGATGTCTATTCATGACTAATCAAATTACTACTACATCATTGCAAGTTCAGAAATCATGAATCAGAATTCCCAGAATTACTTGAAAAGTTTTAAGGGATAAACACTTACAGCTACTGAGAAACCAACAATGTTTTTATTCCTCTGACCCTTCTCCAGTGTGTGGCAACTAGTCCTGCCAGTTTATGGCAAGAAATTACAATTTGCTTACTACTTCTCACAACAATTCATTTTGTGTATCATGCCCATAACAGCTGCAAAATAGAGCACTGGATCCAATTCTGGATGATCTTACAAAAAAATACCTAGTATGCATTCCATGATAATGGAGCCATAAAAAAACCAAAAAAGCAATGTAATGCCAGCACAACCCCTAATGCTCTTCAACAAGCAGAAAGTAAAGTGTTTGTGATTAAGCAGCTAGTTTGATTTCAAATTAAACATACTCACTTTATTCAGTACTCTAAAACATAACATAAATAAGCTATTTTTATGAAGAGTCATGATGTATTTGAATTTTTAAAAAGCAAAAACATTTTCCAAGAACTAAACTCTTTCTCCAACAAATTACTTGTTGACATAGCAGTTACTTATTTGCTTTAAGCCAGGCTCTTTTCTGCAAAGCTGCTTTCCAAACCGTCAGCCCCCGCATCTATTGGTACATGAGGCTATTCCTCCCCAGGTGCAGGACTTGGCATTTGCATTCACTGAATCACACAAGGTTCCTGTCAGCCCATTTCTTCAGCCTGTTGAGGTCCCTCTGAATGGCAGCACAGCCCTTTGGGGTGTCAGCCACTTCTCCCAGTTTTGTATCATCAGCAAACTTGCTGGGGGTACACTCTGCCCCATCACCCAGACCATTAAGGAAGATGCTGAATGATATCAACTGCTGGCATACACCACTTGTTACTGGCCTCCAGCTAGACTTGGTACCACTACACACTGTCAGTCTTCATAATGTACTGGAGACACTTCTCACGTGAACAGGAAAAGCATCAGCAAGAACAGAATTTTAGTAGGGAAGGAACTGTGGCTTTTTTTCCCCCATTTACGAATAGAATTTTTCACATGAATCTATTTAGAGATTAAGTCATTTCAGTGTTGGAACACAGTGTTTAAAAACATGTTTTTCATCTGCTAGGTACTGAGGCTATTTAAAGGACTGAGACATGACAGACTTTGGATAACTCTTCAAGCAGCTATAATCTTAGTTTTCCATTGTCTCCCCAATTACCTTCTAGTAATACGTACAGTAATTCCTACTTTAGATTAAGGGTAAACATAGGAATCACTCAGACTGAAAAAATCTATAAAAAGAAGAGCAGGCTGATAAGGGTCATGACCAAAGAGAGCCAAAGGCCACCTTATAAAGCTAAAGCTCACATAAGCAAAGAGGTCAGGGAAAGGGAGGACCTGTGAAGAAGAGGTACAAGGGGTCAGCACGGAACACAACTAGCCTGTCCAGCAGTAAAAAGGAAGGCTGATTCCAAACAGGAAGCCCACTGTGGGGCAGAGGAGGGACAGGTCACATGCCCAGTACACAGACAGCTGAGGAATGGATAAAAAGAGCAAAAACAAAGTAGGGCAAAATATTATCTTCTTCCCATTTCTTCAGCAGGCTGTGGAGAGGCACCAAGTAGTCAAGAGGAACCAGGGCAGCTGGGTATTGTTATTAGTGCCCAGATTAAATAGGAATGTCAAAGAAACTTTCTTCTGCCTAAAGCAAAACAGCTGTTGCTTTCTTTTAAAAAAGAAGGCTGATGCCAGTGCCAGGCAGACTGATCTGACACAGGCATTCTAACACAGCAGGCTGCCTTTCTTTTGTTTTATGCTCTGCCAGAGCATGAACATGCAGAGCTATTTTCAAAAGTCAGAACAAACTTTAAAATTACCCCTGGAGTTTGCCCTGCCCCAACTTTACCACATGACAAAGTTAAACTGGAAAAAAAAAAACAGGACTAGAAGAGGATGGGAGAAAAGGGGAAACATTAAATTACAGGATAATTTGCAACAATCCTGGAGAGGCCTTAGAAGAACAGCATCAGGTAGCTGTCATTGATGTGGCTTAACAATGATGCTGGAAAAGACCATTTCCCATTACTGATCCCTGCTCCCTCCCGCCTCCCCCAACTCATTCACTTGTCATCCCATTTCACCTTATTAATTTTTGTGTTAGTTTCTGCAAATCTAGTTGCCCTGGTCTAAAAAGTGTCAAAATACCTACATATGAAATCACTGTGTTTATTTCAAGGAACATATATATAATCATACAGTAATTGTTTTAATTTAGAAGATAAAAGTCTTTATCTTACTACAGACGGAGTTAAAACTACAAGCTTATACTTCTGTGTACACTTAAAACACACTTACAGTACAATGTGATCGAAGCATTTGCTATCATCCAGTCTGTTACAATTTTGATGTGAGTTCATCTAAACTAGCAGCACTACTTTTGCCAATAAAACTAACCAGAACTGAAGTATAACATGGAATATAGATATGCAAGAATCAAGAGTTCTGGGGCCCTCAAGACAAGAAAGACATGGACCTGTTAGAACGAGTCCAGAGGAGGCCACG